CCTCATGACCTGGCTGGGAGTGCTCCGAGCAGTGTCATTGGTGCCCACATGAATAAGGAGCATGGGATAGTGGTCTGTGGGTTTAAGGAGCTTTGGGATCCTCTCCGTAATGTCCCGGATGCGGGCCCCTGGGAAGCAGCAGACTTGCCGGGCTAAGGGGTCGGGGTGGCAGATTGGCCCCTCAGTCCCCCTCAGGAGGGAGTCTCCCACAACAAACACCTTACGTTTTGTCTTGGGGAGAGCAGGGGCGGTAGCTGCAGTTGGGCCCATGTTGCCTGTGGGGGCCGGCAACTCAGCAGGCTCTGCTGGGGCAGCAAGAAGTGCGTACCTGTTTCTCAGTTCTGGTGGGGGAGGGGCCTTGGTGCGGCGGGCCTTAGGGGTTCGGAGGGGTTCAATATTCGGAGGGTTTCAATTCAATTCAAAGAAATTAAAGGGTCTCCTGATTCAATTCAGTTTTGAAGATTCGGCCACCGAATCTCCGCCGAATCAAATCAGGGATCAAAGCTTCACACAGCCCTATTATTTATATGCATTTTGAAACTCTGTGTTTTGTTAATGTTGATATGTAATTGTTATTATGTTTGGCTGGGGAAGGAAGATTCAGAGAGCTGTACCTTTAAGAAACTCTTGCAAGAGCCTGTTGACCCTAGTTGTCCTGCCTTCCAGAGGCTCCTGTTACAGGATGCTGATCAGATAATGAAGCAGACCTTTGTCAGGCACAAAAGGCATTTAGAGCCTTGGACAGAAGCTCAGTTTTGTACACTAGTTTTAAAAAAAAATATATATATATATATATTTATAAATGCAGAAAATTCAGAATTAAGGTTAAACTTGCAAGTATTAGTTAGTTGAAATTTTCTTTGGGGATCAAATTCAGTCTTGACATAACCTGGAATAATCCCCAATTTAAGTTTTTATGTCAGACGATACCATCATTGAATTTATCAGCATGTCTGAGGGTGGTCCAGTCTGAGTCAGATTATTTCTGGAGAAAGAGCCAGCCCACAATTTTTGGAGGCCCCCTGCAAGAAATAGTTGTGGAGCCCCTTGCCCCAAAGAACCTGGCAGCAGCCGGGGGTGAAGGGTAGCAAGTGGCCAGACGCAGAGGGCCCCTTAGCTGTGGGCCCCCTTGCAGCTGCAAGTTTTGCAGTATAAGATGGGCCAGCCCTGTCTGGAGTGAAAACAGATGATAATGTCTCTTATTCTGTCCCTATTAAAGCTTCCAGGTCAGTGCCCTTCTTGTAAATGTATATCACATCCCAAATGGTATTTAGGATTTTTTTCAAATATAGTTTGAGCATCAGGCCTTTTAAAATATAACTTAAGGTAGAGTATTATATGATATTTTATGTAACAATCAATTTAGTTAAACCTTGTAGTTATAAGACTAGAATGAATAAATGAAAGTTTGTATCCCATCCTAAACTCAAATGTATCCCTGCAAAACATTCAAATTACAATTGAACTGTTTCTTTTGTAACACAAAGAAATGAAACAATACACCACCAGTGCAAAACTATCCCAGTGAAGCAGATTAATTAAGCATGGCGAGTATCCCATATCAGTAGCATTTATTGTTTTCTTAAGTGTTTGCCAGAGAAATGGTTACCAAAATAAATCAGCAAAATGTTTTACAATGTAATTTTAATAATCTAATATTCATAAAGACTGCTTGTTTCTCATTCTAAGCATAGAATATAATTGTTATATTTTTTACAATGAATATAAAGATCATAAAATTATAAGTGGAAAATGTTTCAATACTACAATATATCATTATCGATTGTTATTCACAGGAAAAGCAGCCAATATTGCTGATTTATGTATTACAACACAAGAGCTGCAGTCTCGGCTGGGAGAGTTTGGGCAGTACTGTCCTGTTAGCCTTGCAGAAAAGGGTGAACTGGTTGACTGCTCTGTAACCTCCTCATTACAGTTTGCTGCAGAATTTCGAGGACATTACTACAAAATGGCTTCCCAGGAGGAACTGGACGTAAGTGGCTCTGAATAAAGAAAATACACTGTTAGCTTGGAAAATTGCATGGTTTGCTACTACGAGTCTGTATATATTCTGTACAGAAATTAACTCTATTTTAATTAGGCTGATTGTTTTCTTATGATATTCTAATCATTGTTCTGTGTACTTCTATCAGTTCTTGAGTTAAAATGTAGTGGAAGAGAATCTTATTAATGCAAAATTCCTCTGAACAAACATTCACTTATAAACTGAAATATTTCAGGTCTTCCATTTCAAAGCATGTATCTTCTTCCCCCACTCCTTTTTAATTTATACAATGGGAAAGATAGCCTAGATGAAAGTGGGTTGAAGGAAGAATGGCTTTCCTCACTGTCCCAGCACTTTGTGATGCAGGGAAATAAAGGAACAAGTAGCAAATGTGTATGAAACAAGCCACTTCCTATGTAGCATGTATAAAATTATTACTGTATATTTCTCTCATCTTACAAAGGTTTCTCACATTACAGAAATTCTTGAATACACCAGAGTTGTATGTGCCACCATTAGCACCTAATCCTCTTCCCCCACCAAATATGCTCCCAAAGAAACTGACTATGGCAGATGTAAAAGCCTTATTCCCTAAGAGTGCAGAAATGCAAGGATACTGTCCAGTCACTTACTTAGATGGAAAACAGAGGTAAATCTTAACATTTCTTAGAATTTCTATGAAAAACCTATGTACCTTGTATTAAAAAAAAAAGAAACACTATTCCATTTGAAACAGGAATAAAAATTGCAACAGTGTACATTGGGCCTATAGCTTTGCAAAAATTTGTGAAGTTATCTTTTGAATCCAGTACTGCTGCAGGGTTTGTTATGAACCTGGAATATGAACAAGTTGCAGAAAGCAAGAAGTGGTCTAAATCCAGCCAGGTTTTCATTCCCTAAAAAAGTCAAAGCTCCTGTTCCTATTTTTAGGGTTCCAGTCCATTTCTGCCCCTTGTCCTTTCTGACATCTTCAAGGAGCAACTGATATGTCTGCTCCACACCTTTTCTTGTAAAGTATGTGGGTGGCTGTTCCCTTTCCCTTTTTCTTCTGGAGTAGAATTTAAAACACTCTTGCATTAGCTATAGTTAATGCTCCATTAGCTCCCATTCTTGAAGCTGAACAATAGCCAACTAAGGGGAGCACCATGACTGACAACCTGCCCTCCCCCCTGCTGGACAGAGAAGGCTGTCAGTGAACAGCACGCAGAACCCCCTGCTAATCAGCTCTGCTGGTCAGCCATCCAGGCTTTGTAGGCAGCAGAGCTGGAGGTCTGCTGGACACAAAAGTGGTAGCACAAAGCTGACTCTACCTAGGCTTCACCAATTAGCTGCTTAGTGGAGCCCAGGCAGGGGCACGGTTGTCTCAGACATCAGGAGCTCTTGTACACATAACAAGAGTTTAATTCCCAAGGTTATATTCTACAACTCCTAAATTGAAACGGTAGGCTATAGAATAAAACCTTGAGGACTAAACCATTTTAATTCTTCCATCAAGTTATGGTGAGGGACCCAATCCTTTTTTATTTTCTGTAGGAGCTGGAGCCTGTCCATGGCTGGGGGGTGAGCTGCCAGAGAACCAAGCAGCCCCTGAGCTGCAGGGGGCCTCCGTCCTTCCCACCATGGTGGCAGCATCCCCCAGGGCTACCCAGGGAGGCTGCTAGTGGGCCGGGTGCTGCCCCAGCTCAGAGACAACACCCAGACAGATTTAACTCTTCCCTGAGCCTGCCAGAGCTTCCAGCACCTGGTAAACTGTCCCTGCCACCTTCCCACCACCTGGGACCACCTGGGAATGGGCTGGCTTGCTCCTGGGGCAGCATGGGGAGGCAGCAGTAGGATGGTTGAGTGTGCTGGCAGCTGGAGAAGGTGGTGGGGATGGTACTCAGGGCACTGGAAGCCCACTGAGCCTGAGCTTCCCCAAGCCCACCCAGACTTCCAGTGCCCCGGGCACCATCCCTGCCATATTCTCTGGCCACCACTACATCCAGGCCCCTTTCTGCCACCTCCCCACACTGCCCCAGGAGCAAGCCAGCCAATTCCTGGGTGGTCCCAGGGGGTAGGAAGGCAGCGGTGGTGCTGGAAGCCCCAGCAGGCTTAGGGAACAGTTGGATCCAGCTGGGGGCTGCCTCCAAGCTGGTGCAGCATCC